TATTAACGTCACTATAACTGATAAAACTGATTGGGCAATACTGATTCTTTTAGCTTTAATTGGTTTGTTCGTTGTTGTGATTTGAACTGGCAAAGGGAAGTACCTTTGCATGAAACTTTTGCTGGCCTTCTCGTTAAATTGAAACTTTTTTAAGAAATAGAAAGAAAGAGAAAGAAACGGCATTCTGATTATCGATGCTGGCATTCCCAGATTCATTAAAATTAAACAGCGACATTTACATCGATCTGTCTTATCTTTGCGACATATATTATACCTAATCCTTCCTTGTTTTGGCGAAACAAGTAAACTGCGTTAATTCTTTTAAAGAACTAATCGGATGAACCGAAGCCAACCGATAAACTGTGAACATCAAATCAGAATAGAAGAAACTAAAATCAACGACTGTCTTAGCAGCCGACCGGTTCATTTATAGTTTACTAGAACGTTAGGGCGTAAACAGAACGACAAAAACTGTAGTGTACACAAAGACTACGTTTCATTTAACCACTGATTCTAAGCTAGAGAACAGAAAACGACGTGTAAACGACGAATTTAAAAAACGAGCTAACAACGCAAAAAATTGGCATTGGTTGTCACCAAACCAAAATTGATTCATAGTGTGTTCATGTTTTTTGAGCGAGTTTGTTTTTAAAATTCATAAAAACAAAACTTTGAACGTGAGTGATAACACCCTTGGTCTTAGATAAAAGCTAGAAATGCAAATTGTTATTGTGGTTGCAGAAACCATTGTTGGTTAGTTGTGGTCGACGGTGAACTTAAAACAAGACTTACCATTATTTTGTATTTTTTACTCGTTATTTTTCAAAACGGCCAACGCGAATAGACGTTCTTTTAATTAATGTCCCTGCTTCAGCATTGTTTTACAGCCAATGCAAAGTTTCTGACATCCTTTCTAACCATTCCCATTAGCATTGTGACCTGGTGCCGACCGTCCATTTTCCTTTTTTTTAATTTTGGCTCAACATTGTCTCTTCGTTTCTTCTTTTAATAGGGAGCTCAAGCAAAGGCGTTCGACGCACGTCAAATTTCTATTACTAATAGTCCTAATAGAACGCCTTTCCCGAAAATTTGGGCATCATATATACTGCTCGGCAGAATACTGCCCAAGCCGGCGGATGCAAAACGCGCAGTTTCCGTTGACGTGAGTCCGGCTCAAAACGTCTTTTACTGCGCTTTTCACAAACATGCTAACTCTAAATTTCAAAAGCCGCCTTCACAACTGCGTTTTTCGCTGCCGTCAATCATAATTACGATCACAAGCAATGAGCCTTGAAACACACAAACACACGAAATGGATCGAAATTCACTAATCACAAATCACAAACCATGACCTTTTGAACCCGTTAAAGTAAAGTTTTGTTTCCTAAGAGGTCCGTTAAGATGATTGACGGCAGTCAAAAACGGAATTGTGAAGGCGGCTTCTGAACTTCAGAATTCGCATGTTTGCGAAAAGCGCAGTAAGCTCACTATTGAAATGCTGAATAATATCGACATGCAGAACGTTGTATCTCCACTTCTCATTTTCTCACTTGATCTCCCAAACCTGCGTCAAGGGCAAGGCGCTTGAATTTGTGGTATCACTTTCAGGCGCGTCTTCATCCCCCCTAGGTTTTCTTCATCTTTTTAAAGGTACTTAAAAGTACAAAATAATATTTATTACTTTTATTGCGCATTTTAACATTAAAAGATATGATCAAATGCGCAAGTACTTGCCATGTAATGTATTCAGCAGGATCTCCACTGACTGGTTAACCGCAAAATGCGTAGACTCGAGACTATTCAGTTATGCATGTTGCTTGTTAAGGGGTGCACTGGTTGGTAATACATTCTAACCCAGAATCATTCATTTTATACAGTCAGTATAACCTCGATTTTTGATTCGGATGACTACAATTCTTCGCTAACGCGAACTAAATTTCCTTTCCCTTGATCAAAATTTTACTGAAATTCACCCTGATAGGTCAAATTCCCTTCTAACTCGAACTGCTTTTCGCGGTTTCCCCTCAGAGTTCGAGTTACCTGGTCGTTACGGTAAACTGCATGGTCGCCTCTAGCTTACGGAAGAGGTTGCGAGCAGAGCTTCGACTGCATATAGAATGATAAAAAATTATTGAACCCTATTATCACGGCAAAATATAGTCATTTGTTGGAGTGTCTCACAGGTCAATTCTTTTCTTCGGAATTCGGCTTCGGCAAGTCGTATTTCGCTAAGTAACGCCCAAGAATTAAATTTATTAAGTTACTTCAGATGGTAGTATCGCCAAGACCGATTATCTGCTAAAAAACGAATCTACTCTTAATTTATTTAAAGGCACAAGACAAGAAAGATCATTACGAAAGCTTAGGGCAAACAAAATGTTTCTTTATAATCCGAATCAAAAAGCCTTTTTGTCTTCTAATTTTTTTGTCAGCAGATCTCTTTTTTGCTTCAAAATGAAGCGTCCTCAGATGATCGCCTCTTGCCTACCTTTGTCCACGAGCAAAAGCAAAAATCAGAAACAAACAAAAATAAGTAAATAACACCTTTTTTACAGGCTAGAACAAGAAGCATACAAAACTACACCCGTTTTTATAAATAACCAATTATCATCTCTTTAGAAAATGGCCAATTCAAATTCAGTTGAAGACCCGGGGGGATTCCCTTACTTCTTTAGCCAAAAAGGTTACGTGCCACTGAACAACAGGAAGTTGGTTTTAAGGTCTCGCCAGTGAGTATCAAACAGGGTCAACTAATTCACTCTTTAGCGTCGTTAACACGGTGAATTTTTGGACCGGATGCCTTTTAAAGAGTGTGAAAGTTGGGCCTACTTTTGTGCTACGAATAATCCTTTTTTAGAATTACCCGATGTTCGTTTAAAAAAAATGCTTAATTTTGTTTGCGAAACGAAATGAGTTAGGGTCATAAAATAATGTATCTTTGTCTTAAACAGGGTAGGGTCAGGTTACTGTAAATCAAGTCTAATTACCAAGAAACAAAATAGACCAACTCTCCTCTCTTTCTTGGTATATGCTGGTTGTCGCGAAAAGACAGCCCATTTTGACGCCCGTCCTAAAACAGTGCATAGCTAAGGAATGTTCCCAGTTTACGGGAGCCAATCAATCCATGCGAATATTGCTAATCACTGAAAATAATGGCTAAACATCTACTAGCTCCTCCTCAGGGTCGGTGCATAGCGCTACAAAGCCAGGACGCTTTGTGTCGCGTCTTACTTCCACCATTATTTACCTCCTCTTCGATAGATAGTTGTGTACCTATTCACTATAAGAAACAAAATAAAATGGCGTCTTTTTTTTTTTTTTTCCTTTCTGCAAAAGGTATAGCGGTACCAAACGTCTTAATCCTTGCGGAAAATTAAATGTGGCCAAATTAATGATTCAGTTTTGTTTTCAGCTTGACTTTTCTCTCAGGCTGAAAGCTGAAGACGTCATCGAGCACATAACTTACGCAAACTGATTTTTCTCTATTAATTTAGGACAGTTAATTTACTTGTTATAGTCATTTATTATAAAACTATAGTTTTGGGTTAGGTGACTAACGAAATTCGATGATACTTCTTTGGTATTGTAAAAGCTGGTTTGCATGCAATCGTCACTATCTACGTGTAGTACGTGTATGTTTATACTGAAAGAAGCCTTGGGTTTAGAAGTCACGTAGTTTGACGCCCATGATTAGCTCTTTTCTTTATTTTAGGTGTATCCTTATTGGGCAAAGGTGACTATATCCTACTTTGTTTCATCCGACCGAGATATAAAATCAGAGGAGCTCCTATGGGTCGGTGCAGGGTCTACATTTATTATACATTGGTACTCTTTTATCGTGGTGCACTGCTTTCTTGCTATTCTAACCTTTTATTAGTTCGACTAGTTTTTCCGTTAGGATATGGTAGAAAAGATTGCTCTCCAAGGACGATGTTGGTATCAGGCTATGATAAAAGTAACAGTATTTTTTTTTTTTTTTTTGAGGAAACCATCAAAAACACAGGAAGAGATAAAATCGTGAAATTTATGGTATATGAAACCCTACAAAGCAATAAAAGTTTTGCTAAATAAAAGAAAACTGTTCCCTTGACGAAGTTCGTACTGCGACGGTCCGGCATAACTTAACTTCCTATCACTTGATGTATGGGTATCCAAGACCGAGTATATCCATACAACTTGCCACGCAGGCTACCGATAATCAAGTTATCCTATATATTATCATATTTTTATCTTTCCAGCTAATTTTTATAAATTTTACTAGGTGAGATTTTAATCCTCAAAATTCTTATCCGATTTTAATAAAGGTTTCTGAGGTTTTGCCTCAAAGTGTTTAGCTACAAAAGGAATCGTGCTTAAGGCGCGATTTAATTAAAGATTTCTAAAATATTTTTTTCAGATGAAAGATTATATCAGGATGTTTGCTTTAATGAATTTAAAATCTTAACGAAATGAACGGCAATCTGGTGATATTCATGGTAACCCAAGAGAGAATGGGTGTTCCCCTGAAGCGGTAGTGATATATTTTGCATCCACAACATATCACCTTTAAAAAGCATTGCCAATAAATCGCTCTCCATCACAGCAATTTTTGTATCCTCACGCCACGGGAAAGAGCGTTGCGTGACGAGACAAAACGGTGCTTCAGGGACCAATTCCCTACGTGCTCAGCCCATTATTGTGTCGTCACGAAAGGTGCCTCCCCACAAAGAAGCTAAAAAAGCGCTGCGTTACAAAACAAAGAGCTGCGGCATAAAGATGCATGAATATGAGACTAACATGCTTGCATAATTGTGCAAAATATTAATACTGTTATAAGAGTTTACAGGAGCCTTGGCTCCTGGAGTTTACTATCAATAATCTAATACGACGAAGGTAGCCACAAAGGGCTAAACAGAAAATAACCAAAAACAATACTTTCGCACCTTACGCTTTACAGTCTATATTTGTAGAATGCTATTCTAAGAAAATTAAAACAGCGCCAAAGTTCAAGAATCCCCTTATTAGGACTGGGGCCTACAAACTTCTTCAATCATTATCCGGGACACTGAATTCCACCCAGTGTAAGCATCACCCAGGGTGCTGCCACTGCACTGTCCTACCCATAATTCCACTCTAACTGCCCCTTGCGAGATGTTTTCACAGTACCCCTCAAATGACCGATGATGCAGCAGATTAGGGTTCCCAGATGGCCAGTTGTTGTTAACAGCAGCCTCAATCGTCATTGGTCCACTGCATTCGTTTCCATTGAACTTGAAATACCACCGATTGCACTTATAATTATCAGAGACCCTCATGTTTCCCTGGAATGAGACTCTGAGCGCTGAATTAGACTGTAGTTTGTTAAACGCACAGTCCTGGAATAAAATCAAACAAATCAAACATATTGTAGTAAGGCGAGTAACCAAGTGTAATGATTGATATTAACTACTCCAGTCAAGAATACTTCCTAATTTTTTACAAACTATGTAATAACTTCAATTGTTGTTGTCCTTATCCACATGGCCAGGAATCATTTTAACACGCACGATGTTTTTTTCTTTCTTTCTTTCTTTCTTTCAAAAAGAACCAAAGTAGAGGGAGATGTAACTTAGTTTTTTTTTTTTTTTTTTTAACTTTTTTTTTTGGAGTGTGTTATTAATGATTCTTATTCTAATTACCTTAATCTTTCCGTTATCAGTGTCGCTGTCTGATTTCCATACACATTGTTTCCAGTTGGTTTGTGGTACTACACTTGCTTGACTTGCTTTGACGCTTTCTCCTTTCTCTCCTTTCTCTCCTTTTCTTCCTTGATTTCCCACAATTCCTCGCTCTCCTTTAATTCCCACAGCTCCGCGCTCTCCTTTCATTCCCTGAATTCCTCGTGGTCCACTCTTCCCAGGGGGTCCTTCGCGCCCTCTGTCTCCTCTTGGACCCGGCATTCCATCTGATCCTTTATCACCAATTTGTCCTTTTACACCTTCTCTTCCCTGGGGTCCGTGTGGCCCCGGGACGCCCGGCACTCCCGGCACTCCCGGTATACCATTTGGTCCAGGAATACCAGGGAAACCCAGCATAGATCGCTGAAGTTGAAAAAAAGATGACCTGCACTTAGCAGAGACGAAGACGAAACGGGATCTTAGATAACTCGAGGCGGGGGATACTCCTAGGAATTCTTGGCGGTGGTGGTGTGCCACCCGGTTCTCCTAATCCTGACTCTATTTCAGACCAAATCACGTCATTTTTAAACCCGTTTTCAGACTTGGCCTCTAAAATCCATACCAGTTTTCAGACCTTGTTTCGAAGAAATTATGCATGTCATAATTACTTAGATTAATTTAGAACAGCAACGAAAAATAACTCGCGTAATTATTTATATTTCCTTCTTATTTGGAATTGAAACGATAAATACGTTCATACACGCCTGTGGCTCTCAGGCAAACAATGATTCCGAACCAAAATGGACGAAGTCTATACCCGCCAGCCGTCTCCCTTGTTTTCAAGGCACGGAATGAACCTTGAATATCATAATCCTCTTAAATCGTTATCTCGTCTCGAATGGTGGATGGAATCAGAGAAAATTAACAATTAACAATGGACAGGCTTCAGGTTTTCGAGGAAAGATCATGCTGAAGCGAGGACCTTTAAATAAACTGCCATAAACTTTTAACGGGTACTTTTTAATAAATGATCATAACGACGTGAGAGTAATAAAACGCTTTCTGGGTGTACCTAATCTAGGGTGCAGTAGTCCTTTTTACATCTTTATGCATTTCTTACCTGGCATAAGTCTTGTAATTTTGAAGCGTCAGTTTGTTGCTGAGGTGAGGTGGTTGTTCCCAGTGAGCCGCCAAAAAGAGAAAGAGTCAGGAAAACAGCGAAATTCTGAACCATGGCGGTGAGAGTTGAACGAGAACACAGCGTTTTCTGAAATCAGTGCTACGTGCTCATCATTTTATAGAAAATATTTTCAGTAAATCCTCTGTTCCGGTGTATTGTTTGTTACTTTGTTTTTGCTTGTTTCTTTTTCCTTTTATGGCGATTTGTTGGCTCTTCTTATTCTTTGTTTATAATCTGGCTTCAAGATACTGAAACAGGGTCAAAAGATGAACATTCCAAAAATAAATGGCAGAATATAAATTGTTACGAAAGCAACAAAGTTTTATGCATGCTATCACGATTTTGTGTTTCTAACTGTACCCCATGCCTTTCCTCTTTAGTGCGTCAAAAATAATCATGAATTTGCCTTCAGTCCAAGTTGGGTATGCTACTGACGGTCAGAAAAAGTAGCGGCTCCACTAAGCTCCAGCTAAACAAGCCTTAACGTGTCTAGTGTTAGTGTGTCCATTTTTAAACTCTCACATCTTATACCTTGAAAGGGGTGGGAGAGTGGGGGGGACGTTGAGGGGCCCCCAATAATGACCTATACTGGGAGGCGCAACCCAGAAATGCACCCCTTTCAGGATAGACCATACCATTTTTTTTCTTTTTTTTTTAATTTTTCAACTTTTGACGAGGACAAGCTAAGGAAACCCCCGGAAAGTACGTTTTAAAATGAGTAAAACTGCCAAGTTTTGGAAGTGATTTGTTGAAAACGAATTAACGAAGATATAGCTCCTCAGAGTCGGGAAATTTTACAGGCGTTTGCCTGACGGTAGGGGACGGGCACAAACTTGCTCTCCCCCTCCCACCCGCACACGTACAAACGTATGTAAATTTTCGCAACTCTTTGCAAGCTTAAGACGTATCACTTTCAAATTTGGCAATGTCACAGCCTTTGAAATTAAAATTAAAGTTAAAATTCATTGAATCAAATTAAACGCTACATGAAAATGACAAAAGACATTGTGTTGGTACTAGATATGTGAATGGTCCCCTACCATAAATTGTCGCTTATAAGCCCTGGGATTATACATGTACATCTTCTTAATTGGTTTTAGGAAGGCGTATAAACGGAGGGGCTTTTAATTTCCGAGGGGGCTCATTGATGGCATAGAAAAAGCACTTCGAAATAACTTGTAGCATTGCTGATCAAAATATATGTTTTTGCATTTACTGCTCGTTAATTAAGGCTTCAAAACGTCATTGTAAATCGAATTCAATTCAGTTTATGCAAGAGGGGAGTTTATTATACCCGGTGGGGATTATATTCGGATGTATTTTTTTCGTTTACAGCCATGATATGGGCCCATAACTGAAGACGAAGACTTAAAAGTGCAATCACATAAGAGGATTATCTGCCTGACGCGAACTTTCCACCGGATAACCCGTCTCAGGCGGATAATCCGTCTCTTTTTTAAGTATGGCCAATAGAAGGTGTACAAGAGGGTATGTTTTCTGTCAAAAATGTTAAGTGCAGGGTTAAGGAGTTAGTCCTTGGGGCGAAGCCTCCCCATATAAAACTGTGTTGAGTAGCCTCCCCGGCTGTTACGATCTAGAGTCAGTCAGAAAGAGAGCGTATCATCCTCTGGCGGTTTTTATTTTTGCTGTAGCAGACGTTATATAATGTAGAACGTGAACCTACTTTTTCAAAATATACCTGCTGCAAAATACTGTTGCGAGACATTTATGTTAGAGGCAGCTTCATTCTCGCGAGATAACAAAATTGTGGGTCAAGTAGCACGTAAGATAATGGAGCTCATGCATAACATAATGAGGCTCGTGACATAATGAGGTTCCCTTTACCTTTTTAACGACGGGGGAAGTTTTCCTTGTTGAAGAAAACTTGCTCCTGTAACTGGAAGGCTTTAAGGTGGTTTTCACGCTATGATTTTTCGAAAGAAAAACGAAAAGATATAAAATGGTCAAAAACCGGATAGATTAAAATGATCTGTTGCATCGCGATATATTTTCTTAGGAAATAGGGCACACAATCGCTGCCGGTAAACCAGCCTTAAAATGGCAAAACAAAAAATGAGAATGGATTAAAACCTTTTAACACATCTCCTTCCCATTTTCTACTCAACTAAGTCGTGAAATGCGAACACCTAAAAGACGACGTCTGTTTTTATAATACTTGAACCCAGTCTGTCACTACCTTGAGGAATCCGGCTAAAAATACTCACATACTGTAACAGCCGATTATAAGGTTCCCACTCCCCCCCCGCCACTTATAAGCCCCCCAGTTATAGACCAATCTTTCTCTACATGCTATTAGACGTCTCCCCGAATATAAGCCCCTATCTAGCACTAATTATAAGCTCCCTGTGAGTTCTATTTGTTATCAATGACATTTTGAAGCTTAATATAAAACCAGTGAATGCAAAACGTATTTTGATCAGCACCGCTATTGCGTGTTTCAAAACTCATTTTCTATTCCGATTTTAAGCCTCCTTGGATATAAGACCCTCGGAAGTTACAGGGGCCAATCAAAACACGCGAAAATTGCTAGTATAGCTAGCCACTGAAAATGTCATCTACCCCTCTTTAGGGTCGGTGCATAGCGCTAGATATGCTCGACGCTCATTGCGTCGCGGTTATCTCTACCATTATTTGCCGCCTTTTGGGAAGATAGCTGTGCACCTATTCACTACGAAACAGAATAAAATGGCGTCTGAATGTATAGCGGTACCAAACGGTAATGCTAGCGGAAAATTTAATTTGGCCAACGATTCAGTTTTGTTTTCGGTTTGACTTATATCTCGGGTGAAAGGTGATCATGATGACATCATCAATCTCGTGACTTGGGTAAACTGCTATTATCTCTGTTCATATAGAACGCTGCAATTTACTTATTACAGATCTTTAAACTATATTTTTGGGGTTGGCCACGAAGTAATGGAATTCTGTGATAGTTAAGCCTTCTTGCTATTGTAAAAGGAGGTTTGCATGTAATGGCCACCATGTAATACCAGTCTTTCTACTCAGATAAAAGCCTTGGGTTTATAAGTCACCTGGTTGAATACCTAGGCTCCCGGAGGGGGTTCTCCCTATAATGGCCTATACGGGGAGGCTCCGCCCAGAGGGATACCTTTTTCAGGCTTCAGGTGTATGAAAGGGGAGAGATTTTACTCGCTGAAGTATATGAAAGGGTAGGGAAAATCGGTCATTTGGGTCTGTTAAAGGGCCCAAAGGGCTAACAGATCAATTTTATGGCTTTATAAAGTCGAGAAAACGTTCTATTGTTGTGATTAATTCTCAGTCAAATGACAGTGCATTTACAGCAGTCAAAAGGAATGCAAAGTTCTAAACAGGGTATATAAAAGGGGTACCATTTGTCAATTGAAGGCATACGAAAGGATTCCTTTTTCGTGAAAAATGGTATATAAAAGGGTAAGGGGTTGGACCTTAGGACCCGTATAAAAATTTGTTGAGTACCCCCCCCCCCCCCCCGCTCCCCCGAGCCTAGGCTACTTTCCTTTCTTTATTTTAGGTATATTATATATACTGGACAAAGGCGGCTATTTTATACCACAAAGTTTATTGAATAGGTTTCCTCCGAGCCAGATATACTGGATCAGAGGAGCTCCTATGGGGTCGGCGTAAGGTCAGCATTTGTTAAACGTTGGTACTCTTTTATCATAAGTGCAATGTTTAGTGGCTATTCTAACCCTTCATTAGTTCGACCACCTCTGGCTGAAACATCGAGGAAACGTTTTTTTCGGTTAGGATGAAAGAGAAGATTGCTCTCCAAGGGCGATGTTGTGCTCAGGTTATGATAAAAGTGTAAGTACTTTCTAGGAAACCATCAAAAACATAAAAAAAAAGATAAAGTCGTGAAATGTATGGTACAATTTATATAAAAACCTACAAAGCAACAAAGGCCTTGCTAAATAAAAGAAAACTGTACTCTCTTTACGGAAGTTCTTAGTGAGACTAAGTTGCTCTATGGATATCTCCTACCGGGTATACCCATACGGTATTCCCTACCGGGGCATACAGCACTGGTTATTTAGGTACCAAAATTATTGTGACGTGCTCCCGTCCCATTTTCTAAGTTAAGAAACCCTGATAACTGGGTACGTCTTTATTTATAAACGCACTCGTACTCCATCACGCGCGGTCTCGCGCCTAAATCTCCTTCCCTTCCCTTTTGAACGCGTACCACGCATGAACGAGATAATCAAGTTATACTATAATCATATTCATCTTCCTAGCTAATTGGTATAAATTTTACAAGGTGCGATTTTAATCCTCGAAATCTAATCCGTTGTTAATACCTCACTTGTATTAAAATTCGCTCAGTACTAGAATTCGCGCAGCGCTGGGAGTGCCAATTTTAGTATTGCGCGAATAATAATCCGTGCGAAAAGCTTTGTGGTGTAATATGAGACACTCATTGTTAGTAATGCAAATCAGTTGTTTTATTAGTTGTTTTATTTTTTTGGCAACTTTACCGAGCTATATAGTCGCACATTTAAGACGTAAAAGTTTCAAATTTGGTAATTTTACAGCCACTGAAATGAAAATTATATTAAAATTCATTAATTAAACGCTACATGAAAACGACAAGAAGACTTTCTGTTGTTGGTAGATACTTGTGAGACTGAGGTACACTAAAAGCATCTCATTCCTCTACTACTGTGACGTTATTGAGATGATTGTTCGCACAACAAAAAAAAAAAAAAAAGAAGAAGAAGAAGAATGAAATAAAACAAGAACAAACAAAAGCCTAGCAAAAAGATCTACAGTCAGTCATAAGGAGAGAGCATCGTCTTCGTTCTTATTTTTGCTGTAGCAGACGCTACATAATGTAGAACATGAACCCACTTTTTCGAAATATACCTGCTACAAAATACTGTTGCGAGACAATTGTGTTAGAGGCAGCTTCATTCTCACGCGCTAACAAAATTGTGAGCTTGTAACGTAATGAGGCTCGTAACATAATGGAGCTTCCCTTTACCTTTTTAAAGGCGGGAAAGTTTTCCTTGTTGAAGAAAACTTGCTCTTGTAACTAGAGAGCTTTAAGCTGGTTTTCACGCTATGATTTTTCGACAGAAAAACGAAAAGATGTAAACTGGTCAAAAATCGGATAGATTAAAATGATCTGTTGCATAGCCATATATTTTCTTTGTAAATCGGGCACACAATCGCTGCCTGTAAACCAGCCTTATAATAGCAAAATAAAAAATGAGAATGGATTAAAACGTTTTAATACATCTCATTCCTATTTTCTAGTCAACTAAGTCGTGTAATGCGAACGTCCAAAGACGAGGTCTCTTCTTATGATGCTTGAACCCAGTCTGTCATTACGTTAAGGAGCCTGGCTAAAAAAAACTCTCATACCGTAACATCCGATTAAAGTTCCCCCCTTCGCCACTTATAAGGCCCCCAATTATAGACCAATCTTTCTATACATGCTATTATACGTCTCCCCGAATATAAGCCCCCCTCTAGCACTAATTATAAGCTCCCTGTGAGTTCTATTTGTTATCAATGACATTTTGAAGCTTAATATAAAACCAGTAAATGCAAAACGTATTTTGATCGGCATCGCTATAGCGTGTTTCAAAACTCATTTTCTATTTCGATTTTAAGTCCCCCTTGGATATAAGACCCTCGGAAGTTACAGGGGCCAATCAAAACACGCGAAAATTGCTAGTATAGCTAGCCACTGAAAATGGCTAAACATCTACCCCTCTTTAGGGTCGGTGCATAGCGCTAGATAGTCCTCGACGCTCATTGCGCCGCGGTTGTTTCCACCACTGTTTACCGCCTTTTGGGACGATAGTTGTGCATCTATTCACTACGAAAGAAAATAAAATGGTGTCTGAAAGTATGGCGGTACCTAACGGTAATGCTAGCGGAAAATTTAATTTCAACAACGATTCAGTTTTGTCTTCGGTTTGACTCGTATCTCGGGATGAAAGGTGATGACATCATCAAGTACGTGACTTAATGGGCAAACTGCTTTTATCTCTGTTCATTTAGAACGGTCCAATTTACTTATTATAGATCTTTAAACTATAGTTTTGGGGTAGGCTACAGAGTAATGAAATTCTGTGATAGTTACGCCTTTTTGTTATTGTAAAAGGCGGTTTGTATGCAATGGTCACCATGTAATACGCGTGTTTCTACTGATAGAAGCCTTGGATTTATAAGCCTCACCTGGTTGGATACCTACATGTAGGCTCTAGGAGGGGGTACTCCCTATAATGGCCTATACGGCGAGGCTCCGCCAGAAAGGGGTACCTTTTTCAGGCTTCAGCTATATGAAAGGGAAGAGATTTTACTCTTTGAAGTATACGAAAGGGTTGGGAAATCTGTCATTTGGGTCTGTTAAAGGGCCCTAAAGGGCTGACAGATGAATTTTACGGCTTTATATAAAGTCTCGACGAAGTTTAATTTTTGTAATTGATTCCCATTCAAATGACAGTGCATTTACAGCAGCTAAAAGGGATGCAAAAGTTCTAAACAAGGTATGTGAAAGGGGTACCATTTGTCAATAGAAGGTATACAAAAAGGGTTCCTTTTTCGTTAAAAATGGTATATCCTAAAGGGTAAGGGGTTGGACCTTAGAACCCGTATAAAAATTTGTTGAGTACCCCCCTCCCTCCCCCTTCGGGCCTAGGCTAAGCTCCCTTCTTTATTTTAGGTATATCTTATCGGGCAGATGCGGCTTTTCTATACCGAAAACTTTTGGGGTCGGCGTGAGCTCGGCAGTGTTAAACGTTGGTACCATTTAATCATAAGTGCAATGTTTTATGTCTATTCTAACCTTTTATTAGTTCACTTCCCGCTGAAACATCGAGGAAACGTTTTTTTTTTTTTTTTTTTTTTTTTTTCGGTTAGGATGGAAGAAAAGATTACTCTCCAAGGGCGATGTTGTGCTCAAGCTTAAAAGACAAAAGTGTAAGTATTTTCTAGGAAACCATCAAAAACATAGAAAAAGAAAAAGTCGTGAAATGTATGGTACGCTGTATATAAAAACATATAAAACAATAAAAGCCTTGCTAAATAAAATAAAACTGTACTCTTTACGGAAGTTCTTACTGAAACTAATTTGCTGTATGGGTATATCCTACCGGTAATATCCATACGATATCCGCTAACGGGGCATACAGCACTGGTTATTTAGGTACCCAAATGATTGTGACGTCCTCCCCTTCAATTTTCTAAGTTAAGAAACCCTGAGAACTGAGTACGTCTTTATTTATAAACGCACTCGAACAAACAAGTCTGCAAATACATGTAGCTGCATTGGATACTGAGAGACTACAAAGAGAGGACATTGTGAGACTGTACGGGAAATTCTCTGTTAAGGAGCAGACATAATGAGTTCAATCTTATTTGTTAGGAAAAATAATGGACAAGATTTGTACATACTGTAGGACATTGCCTTTCATTAATTAAAGGCTTTAATGACATTTCGAAGCAAACTGCACTGCCACAAGAAATATAACAAAGATGCCATTTAAGTAATAGGAAGGTTTCACAAGAATCTCAATGTTACGAGTAAAAACATTCCTTTTTTTTTTCGCTGTGGTAGGCACTCGGAAGGGAAGGGAAGGGAAGGGAAGGGAAGGGAAGGGAAGGGATGTTTTAGGTGCGTGAGAAGCACTCCCTCGCGCGCGGTCTCGCGCCTAAATCCTCTTCCCTTCTCTTTTGAACGCCTGCAACGCATGCCAGAGATAAATCAAGTTAGTAAAATCCAACTAGTGGTCTATAATCAATGCTTCGTTCTGCTTGGTTGAGCTTCTATTAGGCTATACGTTATAGCCCACTAGCCCCGGCCTTGAAAACCAAAACAATGGCGGCTGAATCGCGATTTGCTACCTAAAGTCGTTTTGTCTCGATATTTTTGACCAACCAGTTGGATTTTACTAAAACAATTATTCCCTTCGCCCGCCTCTGAGTCAATAGCCCATTCGGCCTTCGGCCTCATAGGCTATTGACTCAGAGCCCATTCGGGCTCGAGGAATGATTGTTAATTGTCCTATAATCATATTTATCTTCCTAGCTAGTTGATATAAATTTTACAAGGTGCGATTTTAATTCCCGAATTCCAATCCATTATTCATAATGGTCTTCCCTCGAAGCGGTTTGGCTACAAAAGGAATCGTGCCGTGTGATTTAATTAAGAACGATTTAATGAAATCATTTTCACTTCCGGATCTAATTAAAGATTTTCCACTCAAAAATATTTTAAATGCAAAGGTTACCTCTTCAGCGGATTTTTTTTCGTTGAGATGAAAGATTATATCACGACCTTTACTTTGACTACATATTTATTGGAAAAGACCGACAATCTAATGGTATACATGGTAACCCAAGAGAGAATAGGTTCCCCTGAAGCTGTAGTGATATACATATTTTGCATACATAACAAATCACCTACAAAAAGTATTGCCAATCAATCGCTCCTTTTTTAAATTAATTACAGACACTTTCTTTCGTCACTCAACGAGAAGTAGCGGTGCGTGACAAGACAAAACAGCTGCATGGGACTGACAAATTCCCTACGCGCTCTGCCGGTTATTGTGTCGTCACGAATGGTGCCTTCCCACAAAAAAGCTAGAGAAGCGCTGCGTGACAAAACAAGGAACTGCTGCACAGGACTAACATGCCGACATAATAATACAAAATCTTGATACTGTTATTATATTTTACTACTGACAATCTGATACAACGAACGTAGTTCACCTAGGACTAAAAAGAAAATAACCAAAAACACTACTCTCGCACCTTGCGCTTTACAGTCTGTATTTGTAGAATGCTATTCTAAGGACATCAAAACAGCCCCAATGTTAGACTCCCCTTATTAGGACTGGGGCCTAGATACTTCTTCAATCATTATCCGGGACACTGAGCCCCACCCAGTGTAAGCATCACCCAAGGTTTGGCCACCACACTGTCCTACCCATAATTCCACTCTAACAGCGCCTTGTGGGATGTTTTCACAGTACCCTTCAAATGACCGATGGTGCAGCAGATTAGGCTTCCCAGATGGCCAGTTGTTGTAAACCGCCTCAATCGTCATTGGTCCACTGCATTCATTTCCATTGAATTTGAAATACCACCGGTTACGTTTATTATGACTTTGGACTCTTGTGTTGCCGTGGAATGAGACTCTGAGCGCTGAATAAGACTGCAGTTTGTTAAACGCACAGTCCTGGAATAAAATCAAACAAATCAAGCATATTGTAATAACGCGAGCAACCTTGTGTAATGATTACAATTTTGCGGAGCGCCCTCCTATACCTAAGGGGATCGAGAAACCCCGAGAAGGAGGAACTTAGATGTTAAGGACAGGGATCTAGAAATAGAGAAGGGTCAAGCAGGACTTCCCTAGACTCAACAGCTATATGGATGCTTTATTAATTTATTATTATTTTTTAAACAGTTGAAAGAAACTTTTGGATTTTAGAGGCTGACAGTTTTTTTTTTTTTATTGAAATGAAATGTTTTTAATTCGAATAAGTTTTTCTTAGTTAAATTAACTCTGTCTAAGCTAAATTAAGTGCTTTTTAAATCGACAGGAGTTGTAAATAGTGTTTTCAATGAATAGTTTTTTTTCTTTTTTTCAAGCGAATTAATTGTAAATACGATTTTAATAGTTAGCATTGTTGTCAATAAATGTTTTTCATTATTAAAAATAATGATAATAATAATAATAAATAATAATAATACAAGGTTATATACCGCTGTCTCTAGGAATTCAACAGCGCTATGCTACGATAAAGTGGCGGCCATCTTTTACGAAGCAGAGGATTGTTCTATTTCAATCTGTTATTAACTGATGAGCCTATCCCCCTCCCTCCCCGCCACTTATAAGAATAAGGCCCCGAGTTATAAACCTATCTCTCTGTAACAAAAAAATACAATGTGATTATAAGTCTCCCCCATTATACGACCCCTCTAGCACCAATTATAAGCTCCCCTATGAATTCTATTTATTATGACGTTTTGAAACTTAAATTAAAAACAGTAAATGCAAAACGTATTTTGATCAGCAGTGCTATAGCGTGTTTCAAAGCTCATTTTCTGTTCAGTGTATAAGCTAAGCCCCCTTGGATATAAGACCCTCTGTTTATAAGCCCTCCTAAAGCCACTTATGAGGATGTATAATCCCAGAGCTTATAAGCTGGAGTTTTATCTTTAGCCTAGCCTTCACTGGAAGTGAGATCGTTTCATCATGTTTACCCTTGAGGTCATATTCTAATAATGAATGGTTGAAAACTGTCCTTTTTATATGTGCTAAATCAGCTGGAGGCAATCAAGGATAACGTACGAGTTAATAGAAGACCGGGTGTAACAGGGTGTAGGTTGCTGGACCGGAAGCCTTTTTTAAAAAAAGAGTGTGAAGGCTGGCTATAAAAGGTCTACATTTATGCTACAAATCAGTAATTCCTTTGTAAAAACCTTAATTCCATGATTTTAGTTTATCAAATGCTATATTCTGTATGCGAAGCGAAATGAGTCGGGGTCATTAAATAATGTCTCTTTTCTTAAAAAGGGTCAGGTTACTGTAAATCAATTCTAATTACCAGTTAACAAAGACAAACCAGTTTGTTGTCTTCTCTGGTTGGTATATCGCGAACGGATACGCTATTTTGACACCCATCCCAAAACAGTGCATATCTAACGAACGTTCTCAGTCACGAGATAAAAAAATGACATACGAAATAACTACCATGCATCTTAGGGTCGGTGCGTAGCGCTAATTATCCTTGACGCTCATTTTGGGTCGCCGTTTATCTCCACCATTAGTTACCGCCTTCTTCAGGAGATAGCTGTTTACCCGCTGTTCACTACGTACGAAACCAAATAAAACAGCATCTTCTTTTCCTTTCCTTAAGAGGAATAGCACTGCCAAACGTTTTGTTTGTTAGCGGAAAATTAAATTTTGCCAACGATTCAGTTTTGTTTTCGACTTGACTTATCTCTCGGTCTGAAAGGTGACGACGCCATTGAGCACCGAGGCAAACTGCTTTTACCTCTGTTCATTAAGAACAGTTCAATTTACTTGTTATAGCGTAAACTATAGTTTCAGGTTGGCTGACAAAAGAAATTCGGTTATATTTACGCCTTCTTGTTATTGTAAAAGGTAGTTTGCATGCAATGGTCTTTATGTAATTTTAGTATAATTACATTCTTGATGATTATCGAAAATAGAGGTAGTCGAATACCAAAATAGCCAAAGTAAACCTTCCAATAGACCAATTATGCAAAAATTATAAGAAAACTCGTATAGAATACCAAAAATAAGAAAACTACTGTATACTTTATACCCAAATTTAGTCATGAGTGAGTACTTTATACCCAATTTTAAGCATAAATATATTGTATACCTGAAATTAAATACCCCAATATACTGTATACCAAGAGAGGATAAAGGGGCTCTCTTGTGTATACTCCAAAAACCCTGGCCTTGCAGACTCTGATTCATGAACGCACTCGAACAGTCTATTCTAAACTTTTACAAGTTCACTCCGGGCTGGAACAACGAGAAAACGTTTATTCGGTTAAGACGGTAGAAAATATTGCTATCCAACTTATCTTGCTTTAACTTGCTGTAAGGGTATCCCATACGGTGTCCCCTGCCGGGTATACCCATACAGCACTAGTGATATTGGTACCAAAATGATTTTGATGCCCCCTCCCCCTCCCATTTTCTAAAGAGAGAAACTCCGAGAACTGGAACGTCTTTATTTGAAAACGTACTCGAACAGGCAAGGCTGCAAATAGCTGCATTGGATGCTGATCGATATTGAGAGACTGTAAGGGAAATTCTCTGTTAAGGAGCGGACATAATGAGTTCAATATTACTTGTTAGGAAAGATAATGAACAAGATTTTTGTAAACCGTAAGACATTGTCTTTTATTAAAAGCTTTAATGACACACTTAAGCAAACTGCACTGAGATGAAAGAAATATAACGAAGATGTTATTAAAGTAATAGGAAGGTTTGACAAGAATGTTAATGTTATAAGACTGAAACCATTCCATTTTAATCCACTCTTTGAGAGATAATCTAGACTCGTTGCAGGCGTTGCAAAGGGAAGAGAAAGACGATTTGGGGCGCGTGAAAAGCACGAAGGGCGCGCGAGGAAGGAGGAAGAGGAACGCGTTCCTCTCCTCTCTTGTCCCTCGCGCGTGGTCTCGCGCCAAAATTTCCTTTTCTTTTTCCTTTCGAACGCTTACCCGTCCTCGGAGACCCAGGGGCAGTTAGACGGGTCGATAAAATGTCCGTGGCGAAAGTTTACTGTAAGAGACGAGCTCGTCTCGATCTTACAGTAAACTTTCGCCACGGACATTTTATGGACCCGACTAACTGCTCCTGTGTCTCCGAGGATGACGCTTGCCACGCGGGCTAGAGATAATCAGTTATCCTATAATCATATTCATCTTCTTAGCTAACTGACATAAATTTTACAAGGTGCGATTTAATCCTCGAATTGTAATCCGTTTTTAATAATGGTTTTGCCTCAAAGTGTTTAGCTACAAAAGAAATCATGCTTTGATTAAAGATTTAATTAAAGCACGATTTAATCAAATCGTTTTCACTTCACAAATTAATCAAAGGTTTTCGAAAATATTTTGAAGGCGAAGATTACCTCTTCAGCAGTTTTGTTTTTCTCTGAGATGAAAGATTATGTCACGACCTTTACTTTGACTACATATTTATAGACTAAAGGATATTAACGACAATCCGATGGTATACATGGTAACCAAAGAGAGAAGGGGTTCCGCTGAAGCTGTAGTGATATATTTTGCATCCATAACATATCACCTACAAAAAGCATTGCCAATCAATCGCTATTTTGTCTTGTCGCTCAATGGGAAGGAGTGGTGCGTGACAAGGCAAAACGGCTGCATGGGGTTCAATTCCCTACGCGCCGGCCCATTACTGTGTCGTCACGAAAGATGCCTCCCCACACAAAGAAGCTAAAACAGCCCTGCGTGACAAAACAAACAACTGCTGCATAAAGGTGAATGAACAGGACTAACATGCCGACATAATAATACAAAATCTTGATACTGTTATTAGAGTATAGTATTAACAATCTACTACATGATAAATTTCTGCAATTTGATTGGCTTAGAGCAGTGGTATTTCAGCTTAATTTGAATGGGATGTTAATGGGATGTTAATGGGATGTTTTCACAGTGACCCTCAAATGACCGATGATGCAGCAGAGTAGGGGTCCCAGATGGCCAGTTGTTGTAAACATGCAGCAGCCTCGATCGTCATTGGTCCACTGCATTCATTTCCATTGAACTTGAAATACCATCGGTTACACTTAGAACTACTTCCTTGGACTGCCATGTTTCCCTGAAATGAGACTCTGAGCCCTGAATTAGACTGCAGTTTGTTAAACGCACAGTCCTGGAATAAAATCAAACAAATCAAACATGTTGTAATAAGGCTCAAAACCGTGTGTAATGATTGATAGTAACAACTCCAGTCAAGATTACTTCCTAATGTTTAAAAACTCTGTAATAGCTTCAATTTATTTTGTCCTTATCCATATGGCAAGGAATCATTTTATCACGCATGATTTTTTTTTTTTTTTTTTTTAAAAAAAAAAACCAAAGTAGAGGGAAATGTAACTTAGTTCTTCATGTAATGTGGTGGCAAACGGTGGGTGAGAGGGGAGACGTTCTTCTTTGAATGTTTTTAATTTAAAAAAGAATGAATTTTGTTAGGAGTGTGTCATGATTCTTATTCTAATTACCTTAATCTTTCCGTTAGCAGTAGTGCTGTATGAGTGAAATGTAACTTAGTTCTTCATGTAATGTGTTGGCAAACGGTGGGCGAGAGGGGAGACGTTCATCTTTAGTTTTTAATTTTTAAATTTGAAAAAGAATGAATTTTCTTAGAAGTGTGTCATGATTCTTTTTCTAATTACCTTAATCTTTCCGTTATCAGTACTGCTGGTTGATTTCCACACACATTGTTTCCAGTTGGTTTGTGGTACTACACTTGCTTGATTTGCTTTTGCGCTTTCTCCTCTGTCTCCTTTAATTTGTCTCCTTTTCTCCCTGGATTTCCCACAATGCCTTGCTCTCCTTTCATTCCCAGAAGTCCCGTTTGACCTTTTATTCCCTTGATTCCTCGGGGTCCACTCTTCCCAGTAGGCCCTTCGCGCCCTCTGTCTCCTCTTGGACCCGGCATTCCTTGTGATCCTTTATCACCAATTTGTCCCTTAGTACAATCCCTTCCCTGGGGTCTTTGAGGACCGGGAACGCCTGGCATTCCTGGCATGCCATTGGATCCTGGGATGCCCGGGAAACCCACTAGAGTTCGCTGAAAGTAAAGATGATTTGTAGTTTAATGTGGAGACGAAGGAAACCTGAAAATTGGAAACTGAAAACTGAACGTTAAATACCATGACCCCAATTAGTTAATTAATAGGATAAGCAGGTAACAATGAAATAAGCAATTGTCAGATCATGCTGAAAAAGGACTTTTAAATAAATTGGAATGCAAAATGATATAGCGATGATAAAAGTACTAAAATATGTGGCTTTGATCTTCATGTATTTCTTACCTCACATAAATCCTTTACCTTTTCAGTGTTTTGTTGCTGAGGTGAGGTGGTTGTTCCCAGTGAACCGCCAGAAATACAGAGAATCAACAAAACAGCGAAATGCTGAACCATGATGAGAGCTGCACCAGAACACTGTGATTACTGAAATCAGTGCTACGTGTGCATCACTTAAGTAGTGCGGAATATTTGAAAGTCAATCCTCTGTTCCCGTTCATTGTTTGCTTGGTTTTGCTTGTCTCCTTTTCCTTTTATGGTAATTATCTTGCAAAGTAAAACTCTACGTTTATTTGCCTGCGTGCAAGGAGAACTGAAACAGGGTCAGAAGATGAACATTCCAAACACAAATAACAGAAAAAAAAAAAAGTGTTTCCATAGTTACCCTTCCTGTTATTATGTGTTCATAACAGCAGCCTTTTACTTTCCTCTCTACCACGCCAAAAACTTTTAGGAGTTGGAAAAGCTGCGCATTCAGTCCAAGTTAGCCACTGATAGGTGAGAAAAATTAGATCGATTTAGCTGCAGCTAAAAACGTCCGCAATTTCTCTAGCAAGTGTTTGTACGGCTAACTCCCTTTATCTTATACCGACACGTACCGTCATGCATGAAACTGAACCGATTGGTTTAGTTTTAAGATGACCCCTTAAGATAAAAAACAAAAACAAAAAACAAAAAAAAAAGCGATTGTATGTGTATGTGTTGAATTTTGTGAAGACATCTCCTTCACCTCATGTGCATGTGATTAGGCTGTTGACGCATGGTAGTTGTTTACCAAAAACTTCAAGCATATAAAAGTTTCTTTTGCCAAGCTCGGTGAAAGGTTCTGGTCAATAAAGCAACGTTAAAAATATTATAGTGATGCTGCCTTTTATTTCCTTTTTTCTTGCTATACAGTTTCTCGTTCAGGTAACCACAAACTTTGAGCTGTGACTTGTACACGTGATTTCTCCTTACCAGATCATGTTAAGTATAAAAATGGATATTTTTTACCAGTTCACATCCAGAAGAATAAGCGCAAGGCCCTTAATGAAAAAATGCTGTCGTGTCCACATGTATAGAGTTCAAATATGGTGATATTTCAGTAGAAAGACTTATCTCTAATTTTGATGTATTTTAATTAAATGCAGCATTTATCATGTTAGGGTTATCGTTAATCCATGGTTACTATATTACAGCTGAAAAAAAAAAAAAAAGAAAGAAAACGTTTTTCATCACCTCCACACATGTTTAGGGAAGTCGTAAATTGAGGTCTTGTTTTCTCTGGAAACATCAAGTAAATAGGCAATCATAATAATCCCACTATGAAAATGCATCTCCGGTTAACTATAGTACTATAATTTATAATATTAGAGAAGTACTTTTTAGTATTAGAACCTTATTTTCTTATTTTTCACTTTTAAAGACAACTCTCGATCAAAATTGTAAGACCAGTCTTAAGAACGCCGCGAAAAAAGCAGTAACTTTGTTGAAGCAAGTTTTTAAGAGTAGACCTTGACCATACTTTTTGCAATCGATACTTGCTGCAAATTTGTCGCGAAACCATATGTTAGAGGCTGTTCATCTTTCTCCCTACGCGATTGGAACAGATGTCAAGGATGGACACGAAATAAAACTTGAAAACATTGAACCAAGTTTAAATGTTCTACCTGCTACAATCACCAAAACTATTATTATGGTTATTGCTCCTCGCGAAATTTGTTTGAAATCTACTTTTTCATATCTCTTTTGAATCATTTTGTGTATTGGCACTCAGTAATTATGACTTCCGCTCAGAATTGACTCAAAACAACAATATCCTCGTGACATGTCCCCTTTAACCCTTTAAGCCCCAACTTTATCCAAATAGAAATTCTCCAAACTGATCTCCATACGTTTCCTTCAAGAATTGGATCAGAGAATTTATTTGTAGATCAAAGCACTGCCCATCAGGTGATCATTTTATTTATTCTCACAGCAGTTTCTCTTGATTATGTATTGACTCTGTTAAGAGAAAATTGACTTTGGTCTCTCTTGGGACTTAAGGAGTAAAGCAACTACTGCAGAGGAAGTTTTCCATCTTGAAGAAACTTTGCTTAAACTGTAAGAAGAGGGCTTTATCCCATGATTTGTAGGAACGATCTCGAACCTCTTGAACGAAAAATAAAAAAGATAAAAACTAGCCTAAACCAGATAGATATTAAGAATCTGCTGCAAGATAATTGGAGCAATTTTTGCAATCACCAAGAATATGACTACGTTTACAAACTCTGGCTGTTTCGTAAGTAAGTGGGCCATTTCTATAAGAATGCAAGATATTCAGCGTCCATTTCTCTAGCTTAAGGCAAATAATTCAAAAAGCTAAAAGGGAAGTTAATTTAAATGATCAAAAAATACCTCTGAACCGTGTGCTTTCAAATGTTACATTTTCTATATTTGTATATGCTCTTCGTAGGAAAGTTAGTGAAATAGCGCCAAAGAGTATTTTAGACTCCCTTTTAAGGACTGGGGCCTAGGTAATTCTTTAATCGTTATCCGGGACGCTGATTTCCAACCGGTGGCAGCGTCACCCAGGGTTTCGCCACTACACTGTCCTACCCATAATTCCATTTTAACTGCGCCTTGTGGGATATTTTCAAAGTACACGAAAAGTGATCGCTGACGATGCAGATTATGATCTTTCTCAGATTGCCAATAGTACATTGGATACTGAAATCAATATTGAGAGACTGTACGGGAAAATCTCTGTTAAGAAGCAGACATAATGAGTTCGATCTTATTTGTTAGGAAAAAAAATGGAAAAGATTTGTACATACTGTTAGACTGATTGTTTTTTATTCAAAGCTTTACTGCGCTTTTCACAAACATGCGAACTCTAAAGTTCAAAAGCCGCCTTCACAATTGCGTTTTTCGTTGCCGTCAATCATGATTACGATCTCAAGCAACGAACCTTGAAACACAGAAACACACAAAACGGATCGAAATCCACCAATCACAAATCACAAACCTTGACCTTTTGAACCCGTTAAAGTAAAGTTTTGTTTCCTAAGAGGTCCGTTAAGATGATTGACGGCAGCGAAAAACGCAATCGTCAGTTGGCTTTTGAACTTCAGAATTCGCATGTTTGTGAAAAGCGCAGTAATCACACATTGAAGCAAACTACACTTAAATGCAAGAAATATAACAAAGATGCTATTTTTAAAGTAATGGGAGGGTTTGTTGACAAGAATCTCAATTTTACGACTAAAAACATATTCCTCTTTTTCCTCTGTGGGGGGCATTCGAAAGGGAAGGGAAGAGACGTTTTAGGTGCCTGAGAAGCACTTAAGGGCGCACGAGAAAGGACGGAAAGGGGAAAGTGTTCCTCTCCTTCCTTCTCCCTCGCGCGCGGTCTCGCACCTAAACCACCTTCCCTTTTCTTTTGAACGCCTGCCACACGTGCTAGAAATAATCAAGTTATCCTATAATCATATCCATCCTCCTAGCTAATTGATATCAATTTTACAAGGGGCGATTTTAATCCTCGAGTTCAAATCTGTTTTTAATAATGGTCTTCCCTCGAAGCGGTTTGGCTACAAAAGGAATCGTGGCGTGTGATTTAATTGAGCACGATTTCTTCCGGATTTGCTTAAAGATTTTGCAGACGAAAATATTTTAAATGCAAAGATAACCTCTTCAGCAGATTGTTTTTTTCTTTTCGTTGAGATGAAAGATTATATCACGACCTTTACTTTGACTATATATTTATAGACTTAGGAAAAGACCGACAATCTGATGGTATACATGGTAACCCAAGAGAGAATGGGTTCCCCTGAAGCTGTAGTGATATGTATTTTGCATCCATACCATATCACCTACAAAAAATATTGCCAATCAATCGCTCTTAATCACAGCCATTTTGTCTCGTCAAGCAACGAGAAGTAGCGGTACGTGACAAAACAAAACAGCTGCTTGAGAGACCAATTCCCTACGCGCTCAACCGGTTATTGTGTCGTCACGAGAAGTGCCTCCCTACAAAAAAAAAACAAAAAACAAAACAAAACAAAAAAACAAAAAAGGCTAGAGGAGCGCTGCGTGACAAAACAAAGAGCTGCTGCACAGGAATAACATGCCGACATAGTAATACAAAATCTTGATACTGTTATTTATAGTTTATTATTGACAATCTGATACGACGAAAGTAGTTCACAAAGCGCTAAAACGAAAATAACCAAAAAGCAATCATTTCACACCTTGCGCTTTACAGTCTATATTTGTAGAATGCTATTCTGAGGAAATTGACTCTGCGCCAAAGTTAAAAGACTCCCCTTATTAGGACTGGGACCTAGATGCTTCTTCAATCATTATCCGGGACACTGAATTCCACCCAGTTTCAGCATTACCCAAGGTGTAGCCGCTACACTTTCCTACCCATAATTTCACTCTGACCGCCCCTTGTGGGATGTTTTCACAGTACCCCTCAAATGATCGATGATGCAGCAGATTAGGGTTCCCAGATGGCCAGTTGTTGTAAACAACAGCCTCGATCGTCATTGGTCCACTGCATTCATTTCCATTGAACTTGAAATACCACCGGTTACACTTATAATGACTAAAGACCCTCGTGTTGCCCTGGAATGAGACGCTGAATTAGACTGCAGTTTGTTAAACGCACAGTCCTGGAATAAAATTAAACAAATCAAACATATTGTAATAAGGCAAGCAACGTGTATAATACTAAGTACTCCTGTCAGGATTACTTTCTTGTGTTTAAAAACTCTGTAATAGCTTCATTTTTGTTGTCCTTATCCATATGACCAGGAATCATTTTATCACGCAGGTTGGTTTTACTTTTTCTTTTTTCTTTTTTTTCTTTCAAAAAGAACCAAAGTAGAGGGAAATGTAACTTAGTTATTAATGTAATGTTTGGCCAGCTGTGGGTGAGAGGGGAGACGTTCATCTTTGAATTTTTATTAATTTAAAAAAGAATGAATTTTCTTAGGATTGTGTCATGATTCTTATTCTAATTACCTTAATCTTTCCGTTATCAGTACTGCTGGTTGATTTCCACACACATTGTTTCCAGTCGGTTTGTGGTACTATACTTGCTTGACTTGCTTTGGCGCTTTCTCCTTTCTCTCCTTTGTCTCCTTTTCTTCCTTGATTTCCCACAATGCCTCGCTCTCCTTTGATACCCACAAGTTCCGGTTGACCTTTTATTCCCTTGATTCCTCGGGGTCCACTCTTCCCGGGGGGCGCTTCTCGCCCTCTGTCTCCTCTTGGACCCGGCATTCCAGGGGATCCTTTATCACCAATTTCTGCCTTAGTACCGTCCCTTCCTTGGAGTCCTTGAGGACCGGGGAACACCTGGCATTCCCGGCATGCCATTGGATCCTGGGATGCCTGGGAAACCCACTAGAGATCGCTGAAAGTAAACATGATTTGTAGTTTAATGTAGAGACGAAGAAAACATGAAAATTGGAAACTGAAAACTGGACGTTGAATACCAGGACCCCAATTAGTTGTATGATAGGACAAGGGAACACAGTAATAAGCAATTGTCAGATCATGCTGAAAAAGGACTTTCAATAAATTGGAATGCATAATGCTATAGCGATGATAAAAGAAGTAAAATATAAGGTTTCGGATCTTCATGCATTTCTTACCTCACATAAATCTTTTACTTTTTCAGTGTTTTGTTGCTGAGGTGAGCTGGTTGTTCCCAGTGAACCGCCAGAAATACAGAGAATCAACAAAACAGCGAAATACTGAACCATGATGAGAGCTGAACCAGAACACCGCGATTACTGAGATGAATGCTACGTGCGCAACAGATAAATAGTGCGAAATATTCAAAAGCCAATCTTCTGTTCCTGTTCATTGTTTGCTTGGTTTTGCTTGTTTCCTTTTCCTTTTATGGTAATTATCGTGCAAAGTGTAACTTTCTGTTTATATGCCCGCGTGCAAGGAGAACTGAAACAGAGTCAAAAGGTAAACGGGGGGGCTGGCAGCGAGGTCTGGAACCGAGTTTACATGATCGCCCCAGTTAAGAAATTTGGCCGAGTGAGACTGAGTACCAATTTCCCTTCAAGACAAATATGGCGGAGAATGCAGACATGGAAGGGGTCGGCATTATATTCTACCCACCAAAACCACATCGATCGAGAGGGACTGAGATTGAATTTTGGACACCTTGTGACATGTTATACCAACGAAAGATGCCTACGATGTTTTGATGTATTCGCCTCTCGAGGATTCGCGTTTCTTTTGCTTTGAGCTTTATTATATTTAGGAGATAGCGTTCTCGCCAACAAAGGATGAATATAACGAGTATAACTGCATTTTGGCAAATATTGTACATGAAGTTTTAAAACATGTTTCAGATATTTCATGGGGCTACGTGATACACATCTAGCCCCGAACACTGTTGGTGGTTTTGGTGGATGTTGAAGTCTACATACACCAAAACCACTCGACCTGTCCAGACCGCACATATGAGCCCTTACCTATAACCATTCTTAAATCTCCAAAGAGGCAAGGGTTTTAATTTTTTTAGGCGCATAGTTACGCTTCTGCAAAGTACTGACGGACTAATTAAGACCATACTCATGAAACATAATAATTATTGACACAATGAAATTTTAATCATGGTTTTTATATAAGTAGTTATTGTTTACACATACAAAATATTTTATTTTTTTACTTTTATTATTATTATTCTTATTATTCTTATAAATATTATTATTATCATTATTATTATTATTATTTTTAATGTGCACTTGTGAGCAGCACACTTACCCTTCCAGTGAACATTTTCACTTGGAAGAACTTAGGAGAAACCATGGGCGCGATCCATTCAACCAAAATTCCAACCGGTCCGACCGGGAAAAGTGGTCCACCTCAAAAGGTGGACCCTTTTTTTCGAAACTTTTCCGGTTGGACCGAACCGATCCATTGAGTTTTGGACCGAAATTTTCCGGAAATTTTGGTTGAATGGATCGCGCCCCATGCTCGTCCGGGGCAACGAAAATTTTCGTGTCCCGGGCGAGAATCGAACTCGCGACCTTCCAAATCCCATCATTCCCGGGAAACAAACAGGAAGATCATGGCGGGAATTTTAAGTTACGAACCCGCATTCGATAGGAAAATATTGCTGGGAATTTTGGATATGTTTCTTCCGTCCAAGAGGTTTATAAACTCATCGCAGAGTTTGAAACGAGATCGACGATCAAGTTTTCCTGCTTCAAAGTGGACAAAGATTTTGGGAACATTGGTGTGTATCTAAGATTCATCTATTACTGCGCTTTTCACAAACATGCGAATTCTGAAGTTCAAAAGCCAACTGACAATTGCGTTTTTCGCTGCCGTCAATTATCTTAACGGACCTCTTAGGAAACAAAACTTTACTTTAACGGGTTCAAAAGGTCAAGGTTTGTGATTTGTGATTGGTGGATTTCGATCCGTTTTGTGTGTTTCTGTGTTTCAAGGTTCGTTGCTTGTGATTGTAATTATGATTGTGGGCAGCGAAAATCGCCATTGTGAATGTACATTTAGAAATAAGTCTTACAAATTTAGAATTTTGGAAATCAATCATAAATAATTTTGGAAGTCAATAAAGTCGATAAAATCCATGCCGGAAAGAATCCTCTTCTTGCGGGGTGGGGGAATATAAAGCTCGTTCCAATTTACACCTAGCTACCCTGGTTCCAGAGGTTGTTCTTGATTTTTCTCCGCGTGAGAAAGAACGAGCACTTACCAGCGAGCTTGGCGATTCGATCTCGCCGCTTTGCTCATTTCCAACATCTTACTAACATCTCAGTCATTATGCATGAAACTGTACCCCCCTGATATATATTTTCTGCACCCCCACAACTGTAGGCTCGATTTCCACCGTCTCCCGGGTCCGGTCTTTGATCCTCCCCGGGGATGAGTGTGGGCTCATTTTCCCGAACAGCGGCAGGTAATCGAGCCTACCACAACTGTGAAATGGACGCAGCCTTTCTCGAGCCTTTCGCTTTCTTTCAGCTCCCAGTACAGAAGTGTAGTACACTCTGCTGGTATAGTAGAATTCCGACTTCACTAACGCTCGAGCCCTGGTGGTTCAGTGGTTAGAACCTCCGATCTAGTGTTCGGATGTTCGGTTGTTCGTGCATATCATCCCTGATCCGTACATTTTCCGAGATTCTTCGGTTACGACTTTTAAGTTATTCAAAATTCAATGTCAGTCCCTCTCGATCGATGTGGTTTTGGTGGGTAGAATATAATGCCGACCGACATGGAAGGACGATGAGTTTTTGCTCGGTTTTAAGTTTTCCCGCGTCCAAACATCAAGAAAAGGTTTTCATGAACTTCTTTAATGGAATTTTTGGACAGCAGGTGGCGTGATGTTTGAACCGTTCATGGGTGACTTCAGTTATCGTGATTCAACATCTCGGCAAGTTAGTTATTTTTAAGCTTCGTGAATTTTCGAGCCACCAGCCTGCTCCATCTCTTATATTATTCCACTTACAGTGGTAATAAGACTCTCTTCCTTATCCTAAACATATACTACGAGCACACTATATTAGTATGAGTCTTACAACAGTCATATATGAATGTTCATTAAACCAATTGTACACCGAGAGCCACAACAAATATTAATTTTATAGGCGTAAAAGCCGTAAAAGAGTAGATGTTCCATTCACTTTGCTTCACATATACTGGGTCTGTCAGTATAAGCTATCTTTTAATATCAGAGGGCTGGGAGGGGTTTACTAAACCTTCAAACCTTTGAACAGGAGTATCATTGGAGTGATAATCAATAAATTTCCAACAGCAATACCGTATTTAGCAGTTTTATATTAGATAGTGACTTCGGTTTCAAGTATTTCCTTGAATTTGTTTGTACAAAAATAACCCTATGGTTTAGTGTGGGGACAAAGGGCTAATCCAGTTGCTAATAAGAGTGAGTACATCAGAGAGGGGTATTACGTTGATATAATCCCTCAAAGGACTGAGGTACAAGAAACAGAAAAAAGAAAATTGAATGTTTTACAAATTTTATAAAGAGAATCTGAGGAAGCTTGAAAAATGTACAACTTCAATTGTTTGTGTAAGTTATGAATCTGATTTACAACTGAAATAAACAAGATAAACTAAAATTGATTTTTTATCAACCATCAAAAGAAGTTATTGTCCCTTGACCCCAATCCCCTCAGCAGTTCATTCTACGATACTACCCTTGGCTTATTTGGCCCAGATGGGTACTAATGTGGTGCTCATTTAGAGTGGTGACCATTTCATCGAGAGTTGTGAACAGGGTGTCTATTTGGGCTGTGGAGGTTGATGAAGAGCAGTCAAAAGTTACATTTTTGGTTTCTAAGTTTAAAAGCTAACTTAATTCTGTGTGCTAAGTGAAATGAATCAGGATTATAAAGTAAGGTCTCTTGGCTTAAAAAGGGTAGGGAAATGAACAATGTGTCCTACTACCCTTACTCTCTTATGGTGCAAGCCCAGGGAGGTGATCTCACATTGTAACACCCTTTTGCCACTTGTTGTAACAGTAAAGTCAGTAAAGGTTTATGGTCTCTGAAAAATGTTTTTGCCTGCTTCAACAAAAGTTTCTAACTGTTATTGTTGACTGAAATTAATAATATTATCTTAACAATCATTTCACATTTTTTTTCTAAGGCATCCTATAGTATTTATCAAATCCACTAGCACAAGGCAGTTTTTTAGTTGAGAGGGTTTGATTTCATTAACTACATTTTTATACAGACACAAACTAACCTGGCAGGTTGATGTCCAAAGATGCAAAAAATAACATGCAACGGTACGGCAAAAACTGATCACAGTGGCCAAAGGAAAGGCAAAAATAGGAATGTCACCGTTTTCCTGATTATATAAATTCCCTTTGAAGCATATTTAGCCAGATGTGGTCCTTGTCAAAAACAAACTTGAAGGTTTATTTTCTGAAAATAGCTAATCTTTTTTAAACCGTAATCTTGTTCCAAGGGGTGGTGTAGTTTTTCGAATTATTTTTATCATTTTTCCCTCTTTGTTTTCAACATAAGCCGCTTGAATGAGGACTCAAACTGAAGGGCAGTGTAATAACTGCTGTCATGAAAAGAGAATTCCAAACACGAAATAATTACCCTTTCATTTGCCTAAGCTTCATTTGTTAGAAACTACGGTGAAGTATAAATAAATCGCACGAAGATAAGAAAAAGCATATCAGCATAAACAAAATCAAGAGAGAACGATCTCTTGGCAAAATTTATTTAGCTTCTAGTACATAAAGAAAAACATGAATCACGAGATTTGACCATGCCACTCAATCATCCAACGCAACTCTGCCGGATCAATGAAGAAGAGTTAATAAAACCGTAAACAACTCTTCTACTCGACAA